TTTTTTGATATGGAGAACATCAAATCTTTAGACTGCACCCCTAGACCAGCTATGAAGGTAGTGATGGTGAACTTTTCGTCTGGGACATCCACCTTTAACGATTTTGAATTAAATCTTTTGACATATGACTTGAGGTTTTCTTGTGGTCCCTGTTTCACATTCAAAAGGTGATAACTCGATTTTTTATAGGTTCGAGCCCCTATGAAGTGGGATACGAAGGAAATGGAAAGCTCTTTGAAGGAAGAGATTGAGGCGGGGGGGAGCCTGTTAAACCACACCAAGGTTGAACCCTTCAAAGTGATGGTAAAGGCTCGACAGCGTACGGGGTCCTGATACCCATGCAATTCCATCTGGTTCGTATCAGTATTGAGGTGGTCCATGGGGTCCCTAGTTTCATCAAAGGACTTTATCTGTGGCATCCTGAATTTTGGTGGGAGGAGAAAACGCAACACCCCAGACGTGAATGGAGATTCAGTCTGCTGCACCAAGGCGTCCATTGTAACTAGAGCTTTACTTCTGACCGCTTCCTTCATGTGGTTGAGCTCCTATTGGATGCCTTTGAAGCGTTGTTCCCAATATTGCTCTCTTCTCTCCTGCTGATAAGGGAAGACATCATTATTTTTACCTCCATGATTTTGACTTTATACTTCCTCATTGTGGCTATTCCTAGGGGGTAGTTGGGGAACCTGCCCCAAGGTCTGGTTGTTCTTCTCCCCTTTGTTGTCTTCTCTGAGTAGATCAAGGTGTTGTTGATCCCTATGGTGGGGACTACTCTAACCTTCTCGGGCTGGACGTGCCTCCTGTGGGCGCTGTAAGAACTTCAAGAGCTCCTCGTTTTGCTTTATCAAGCACTGATTGACGAGGCGAAGGGCCTTTATCTTGTTATTTGTGGAGAGATTCCCCATGAGAAGATCAGTATCTGGGATGTTCTCGGGCTGTCTGCCATTGGTGGCTCCCTATTGGTCCTGCATCCGATATGGGTTTGTGTTGACTTCTTCTCATGTTTCGTGTTGACATCATTAGTCACTGAAAGACCAGCTTATTTGTAATAGGAATAGTCGTTCCACAGACGGCGCCAAACTGATGGTGTAAATCAACGTGGATGAGAAAAAAGTTCAGGTGACATGTGATGAGCGTGGATCAGAGCTACAAGGCTCGTGTGTGATGCTGCAGTGAAATACCGAGGGGATTAAAGAGGTTTACACTGTGAAAATATAGTTATTCACCGGCTCAGGAGCTCGGCTAGTCCACTCTTTAATGGAGGCTCTTGCTCCTTTTTATCTCTATTGATTATTTTAATGTAATACAAGACAGTGCACAATCCAATTGGGTTCCTCCCTCTCGATAAGACGTTACATAGCATTTATAAGGCTGCCCCCTATTCCGTGGGATTTTGGCCGAGATCTTTGCCCATTATTCATGGGATCCTCCTTGATTTTAGGAGAGAATCTTGGTTGGTTGAGAGTTTCATGCATGGGGCCTAACTTCCACAGTCATCCAGCTGTTTCCTAGTCGGCTCAGCTGTGATCTCCCCAAGGGGAGCTCCACCCCTGGTCCTCGTGTCTTTCCTGACCTCCTGACCTAAGCTCACAGCTAAGGCTTGTTTGAGGTATCATCAATATCAAATGAAAAAGTGGGATTGTCCCGATAGAGGAAGTAAATGCCTCGAATGTAAATCCCCCTTTTTCTCTGTGCAAACACCCATCCCCACATGAAATGTTTGTTGAAATGCCATAGAGAAACAGATCACTTGAATAGCTCACTACATTGGTTGTGTACTCTGCCAAACTTCTACATTGGTTGTGTGCTCTGCCAAACATCTATTTTCTCTGCCCATCAAGCCACCAGTTCTGCCACCCATTGTTGTTAGACCACCCCCACAAAAAAGTCATTCCCACTTCATGGTCGCTTTTCCTCCATATAAGAAGGCACCGTTGGCTTTCCCTACCAACTGAGTCACTAAGTGTACTGTGGGTAGATGGTGGTGAATGGATATATGCTTGCTTAGAGTTATATTCCATCCATAAATTGCTAATAGTGAGAAGGTTCATATCTGTTCTTTGTAACCCAACATGGGTGTATGCTAGGTTTTATATAAAGTAGTGAGCACTATCTTCATTATGAATTCCTATTATTTCAATTCTTTGGCTTCTTTTAATTTTAATCTAACAAAAAAAAACGTAGTTGAGAGACACATGGTATTAATTTGGTTGGTCTAACTCTTTCTCTGTTTTTCTCTGTATAGGTTGAAAAATAGCTAACCTTGAGTCTTTCACTTTTGTGCCACACTTTTAATTGGTATTTTTTTTTGTTATCTATTTACGTAATGATTTTGCTTTTGTTAATTTCAGTTTTATTGTGTATTGAAGCCACTTGGCATATGTGAACCTTTAAGTATTTCTCTCTTTCTTTATTTGTATTTATTACTTGAAAATTTTGGGATTTTGATGCATTATATTTCATTAGTTGACTGATTATGTGTCTTGGATGGAGGAAATTAGTAATTGTGGATGGTTTCAGTTAAAGAAATGTTCAAACAAAAAAAGTATGGATAAAGAGTGTTAAGTTACAGGTGAAGGGTATAGGGTGTTTATAGTTTGGGAATTTTTGGAAGTGAGACTATGATAGACTCGCATGTTTTTCTTTAGTGGTGGTTATGTTGTCCATAGAATCCTGACCTTGGATAACATGGTTTTGCTTTAATTTGTGGCATCGTATTTTCAGAAGATACTTTATCAAAAATTTAAAATTTTTTTTATATTTTAACCCTTTTTATTTCACTAAAGTCATTACACTAAAAATGACTAAACGTAAACTTTCAGTTTAGTACGTGTCCGAGTTTAGTGCTTTATTATTTTACGTTCAAATTCAATATTTAAATTTTTTTAGTTGTACCGTGCATTCAGGTACGGGTTATCCCTAGTGAGCTAATATGGGAGACGGAGAGCTCCATGGCCTACTTCTTAATTAGGTTTGTACGCCAAGCCAAACAATTGTTGAATATTATCTTACCTATTTTCCGTCTAGGCAAGGCACAGGGAATATCGGCGGGTGCAAAAGGCACATACAATATATTCGCTGGCGGATGGCATAAACCACTAAAAATATAAAGTAAGAGAAAAGAAACACCAATACTTTAATTTGAAGTTTGACAACTTCCTAAACGAAAAGGGGAAAAAAAGTTTCCAATATACTTTTAACTTTTAAGTCCTATCCACGACAGGATTCACATGTGCGATAATCTTTGGACGAAAAAGTCATCTCAATTTTTTTTTTGCTTTTACTTTAGTTGCGAAAGTATGATGAAATTTGATTTCATAAACTTAAAGTTTTTTTCAACAAGCAACAAATCTCCTCATGCTTAGATAAAATGAATTTTGTCGCTTCTGAGTTACAAAAAGCTTACAGATGTACAGTACCAATTGAGTCGGAAAAAAAAATTTCATACAAAAATACTCATTATATCCAAAATTTTAATTAAAAAATTTTCAATATTAAAATACCTCTTCAACAAGCCAATGCAAAAGAGTCGTGACTTTCAACGTAGATTCATTGAAAGTCTAGCTTCCAAATTTCTCCAACGTCAAATAATAAAACTTTTAGATTGGGACACAGTATTAAAACACATGAAATCCTTCGTCAAGAATGAACAAATTCAATAGTTATGCTCTGCAAAAGTTAACAACTTCAAAACGTCTCTAAAAGGGGGAATTCTATTTATTTTTTCTATTTCCTCTTTAATTATTTTCTAATTGAAAGACAACAACTAATGGAAGAGTCCATAAAAAATTTGGGCCAATTTGGAGATGACATTTTTAGGTGAAAAGTTGTGATTTAAAAAATTTCGTAAAAAAATCAGAATTAAAAAAATCTTCTAAAATTGTTTGGGGTGTTCTTTAAAAAATTGAAAAAATTCATTTAAATTGTAATTTTTTTGGCTTTTTCTTTCAAAATAAAAAAAGTTATATATATATATGTATAGATTATGTATAATAATTTTCAAAATATTAATTTTAAATTTTTTATGTCACTAATAATATTTTAAGAATATAATAAAAAATTATGTTAAACCAACAACAAAATTCTAAAAATTTTGAAAAAAAATTAATAAAATTAATTTTTGAATCATCCTAAATAAGCTTTTTTGAATTTAAAAGATTGTTGCATAAATTAATAAAAAAATTAAGATCTAAATGGACTTATAAAATATTTAAAAATTATTTATTTAAGCTAGCTCCGATGATTAATTGAAGCAATATTGAAAAGTGCATATAAAAGAGTGTAGACATTTTTAATTAAGAAACGGAAAATAATAAGGAATGAACTACATATGCATCCAATTTTTGTCTTTTCATTCATGAAGTTTATATCTCTTGAAAACTCGTGGACGTCTCTTCCAATGTTGTAACACCAAAACGGATAAAGGAACCGCTCCAGTTTCTTATCTTCATTAAAAAAGATGAAGTGGACAGCCAGTTGTGTGAGTATCAGGCCACTCTTCGGCCTAAATTATGGGGCCAAAGACTATCTCTGGAGTAAATATTGAACGTTGATATCATATATCATTAGAATAATATTATTGGGACATAATTTGGGGACATAATAAATTATCACTAATAATATAATAATAAATTTATTTAATATTATAATGAGACTCATCATTAAATATATTTCAGTATCACTTCATTAATAACAATTTATTGTATTCCTAAATTATGTCCATAAATTATATTTCAATAACATTAGTGCATGCCATTATTGATGATATGATATTACCAACTAATAATAAAATCTCAAATAAAAATGATAAACTCTACTTGTACTTACATGATAGGAGAGTAAGGAATTATTTATTTATACATAATAGGTTAGTTATTAATCTTTATAGAGCCTATTTATTTATTTATTTTATTATTATTAATTAGTGGTACCGGTGCCTTGTCTCACCATCTTATATTTTCTCCTTCCTCAGACCCCCCCAATCCCAAACTCACCAAATGGGAACTGCCGACACCGAATAGGATCCTACTTCCTCTATTTGTAGGCTCGATTTCAAATCTCGAACACTTCTTCTCCAATGACTTATGCCACCACCGCATCAACTGGTAGTTCCGCCTCCACAACCACCATAACCGGCAGATCCACTGCCAAACTGGGGAAGCTCTCCGACCACCGCCATCACAACCACCACCAGCCTTTGCTACCAGGACTTCCTGACGACATCGCCCACCTCTGTCTCTCTCTTGTTCCCCCCTCTATTCTCTATTCTGTCTGCCGTTCTTGGCGTCGCCTAATTTACTCTCCCTCCTTTCCTCCTTTTCTATCCATCTATGCTCTCTTGTTTTCCCCACAAACTGAAGATCAAATCCCTCACTTTTCAAACTCACTTGAATTCGCTTTCTTTGAGCCAATCTCATCAACATGGCAATCTCTCCCTCCACCACCACCGGACCCACCCCTCCGCCTCCTCCTCCGCCACCCCTCTTTCATATCCCGCAACCTCCCTATCCAATCCGTCGCCTGCTCCGGTAATCTAGTCCTCCTCGCCGCCACCACCGATCAATTCCTTCCCGCCCTCCCTCGCCCTCTCATTTTCAACCCACTTACCCGCAAATGGACTCTTGGTCCCCCACTCGCCACACCACGACGCTGGTGTGCAGCTGGTGCATCATGTGAAACTGTGTACGTGGCGAGTGGGATTGGGTCCCACTACAACCCTGTTGTAGCTCGGTCGGTTGAAAGTTTGAATATCAATACTAGTCATAGTAACATCAAAGATAGTCACCATAACAACCAAAGAAACAGAAGTTTAGAGGTAGGATGGACATGGGAAAACATGGGTGCGCTTAGAGATGGAAAGTTTAGTAGGGAAGCTATTGAAGCTGTCGGGTGGAGAAGGAAGCTATGTATGGTAAATGTAAAAGGCGATGCGGCAAAGGAAGGTGTAGTTTATGATGTTGAAAGTGATGCGTGGGGGGACATGCCAGAGGGAATGCTAGCAGGGTGGAGAGGTCCAGCAGCTGCAATGGACGAGGACATCATATACATGGTGGATGAGTCTAGAGGTGCATTAAGAATGTATGAGCCTGAGAGGGATGCGTGGGTGGAGATACTGCAGACTGAGGAGCTGAGAGGGGCAGATAATATTGCCGCCGGTGGTGGGAGGGTATGTGTTGTTTGTTGTGGTGGCATTGGAATTGTGGTGGTGGACGTCGTGTCGTCGCCGCCTAGGTTATGGGTGGTGGATACCCCGCCGGGGTTTCAAACGATGGCCATTCATGTGTTGCCGAGGATGAGCCAGCCGGACTTCCAAACACCGGTACTTGCTTCAACATCCATGGATTGATTTTTTGTTTAATCGGTGAATACCCCCTTTTTTTTTTTTTTTTGGTGCTAATTTTAATTTTTTGAGGCACTTTTTTCTTTATTTTACACTAGATCAGAATAGAAAATTTTAAACACAATGGGAAAACTTTTTGAGTAATGATATTAGACTTAATTTATTGACTTAATTTGTTGTGATTTTTAGATTGATTGTAAGTCTTATCAAATATTAAAATTAATGATTTTTATAAAGTCACATTATTTTGTTAATAAATTAAATTAAAATTTTAAGTTCAATTAATATTATTCAATTTTGTCATGGGTTTAACAGAATATGCTTTGGGATCATGTGGCTTGCACCCCCCAACTAAAGATGGCCACAAAAGCAACATGTGAAATTGTTATTTATTGAAAATTTCTGACAACGAGTGATACCTACTTGATATTTATTGAAAATTTCAGATCATTGATGTAATTGTTATGAATATTTAGCCATCAATAAATTTTGCATGGAGGATATTGGTTACCTACGAAAGAGGTAATCATGGTATTCACTAAAAAATTAAATATTCTTAAATCAAAAATGTAGTAACATAGCATAAAAATATGATAAAATCAACTTCAAAAGTTATAACTAACACCCCAATAGTAATAACTTACCATAAAAATTGTAACCAAACCCCAAAATGTAATAACTTCGTCACTTCAAAATAAGAATTAATCCCAAAAAATTATAAACGAAACAATCCAGAAGTTGGAAGTCGAGCCAAAAATTAGTAACAAAATTCATAAATGTTGTAATACCCAATAACAAAATTCATAAATGTTGTAATACCCAAATCCAAAAAGTAATAACCAAATTCATAAAGTAATAACCCTAAAACATATAATCTAATCATTTATAAAAGTTGAAAGTCGTACTAAAAAAATTAGATTCCACCAATAAAAGTTGACCAGCTCAAAAAGGTTAGACTCCTTCCCACAAAAGTTGGGATCTACCCAAAAAAATTATAACTTAATCATTTATAAAAGTTGAAAACCTTACTAAAAAAATTAGACCCAACCTAAAACAAGTTATACCTCACCCAAAAAAGTTACAACTCACCCCAACGGTAGTAATTAATCTCGAAAATTATAACACACCCTAAAAGAAAATAACTCCACCACCCCAAAAAGGTAGGGCACACTACCAAAAGGTTGTAAGCGAAGCAATTCAAAAGTTAAAAATCGACCTAAAAAGTTGTAATTCAATTTATTAAAGTTGGAATTCGTCTCACAAAATTAGAATTCACCCAAAAAAGTTAGACCTCATCCCACAAAAGTTAAAATTCACCAGAAAAACGCTTGGAATCCATCCTACAAAATTTGGAGCCCACCTCCAAAATTTATTCATCATAAATGTTGAACGTCTATTAAAAAAAAGTTAAAATTCAACCCAAAAAATTAGATCTTGGACAGTTTGAACTCATCCCCAAAGTTGTAACTCACTCAAAAAAGCTTAGAACCCAAACCCCAAAGATTGTAGCATTTATTAAAAAAGTTATAACTTAATTCAAAAAAGTTGGAACGTAACCAAAAAAGAATTGGACCGCATCTCAACTAAGCCCAATGACAAAAGAGCAGAATTTTGTCATAACTTACGAAAAAAAATTTGTAATAAATTACGACCTACAAGTTGGAACCCACACACCAAAAAAATTGTAACTTTAGTATGAACCCATCCCACAACACTCGGATCCGCTAGGTAGTAATTTATTTAGAAATTTGTAATTTGTTACAACTTTTTTGTTATCAGAGTGGTCATAATTTATTTATTTGATTTTATTGATTTTTCTTTACAATCTAGGATCGGTCGCGAGGTATGGGCGGTCATATTTATTTATTGGTTATTAATAACGTTTTTATCCTCTGATTTTTATCAATTTGGAGTTCCTCTCAAAATATATAAATATTTCATCATTGTTAAATGGTTAATTATAACATTTGTAAATGTTAATAATTGTAATTTTGTCTAATAAAATTTTAATTTATTTGGTTTTTAATAGCGGGACTATTTAAAAGTATTAAATATTTTTAGACTAAACTCAAAAATTTTGTGAATATTTAAAGGATAAAAGTGTGATACTTAACAGATAAAAGGGTAATATTAAATCCTTTATATTACAATCTGTCGCCTATTCTTATGGCCGGTCTTAATTCTTCTATAGGTAAATTTCACTTACACCCCTGAATTATTTTTGGAATAAATTTTATGATAATTAAGGGATAAAAGGGTAATATCAAATCCTAATTAATCGCTCATTCCTACGATCGGCCTTAATTCTGCTGTAAGTAAATTACATTTACACCCCTTAATTATTCATTTATTTTGGACATATGTGGTCCACAATAGCCTTATCTCTCCACCCCGTTTCCCGCCTTTCTCGTCCAAATCACTTCTCATACCTTCCATCTTTCCCTTTACTCGTATATATAACTTATTTGAGAATAAAAAATATTTTTGTTATGCAAAATGTTTTTTTTTTTTAAAAAAAAAGTAGGTCGAAATGTGTTTCATTAGGAAAACATTTGAATTTTTTTAAAAAATTCAGCTCCCACTTTTATTGGATCCATTTTCCACATCCACTGCAACCCCAAAAGGTGTAACCCAACACAAAAATACTATCAAAGCAACATTAAAGTAACATTCAATTTATCAAATTAATATTAAATTAACATTTAATTCATTTGATTAATATTCAATTCATCAAATCAACACCAAATCAACATTCAATTCATCCAATTAACACTCAATTTATCAAAATTAACATCCAAAATTATCTAATAAAAATTCAATTTATCAAATCAACACTAAAGTATTATGAAAATTCATCGAATAAACATTTAATTCATTAATTCAACGCTAAAGTAACATTCAATTCAATAAATTAAATATTCTATTTCATCTAATAAATATTCAATTAATCAAATTAACAGTTAAATTCAACTATTGACATTAAATTCATCCAATAAATATTCATTCATAAAATAAACACTAAATTTATATTCAATTGATCAAATCAATTCCAAATTTCTACAAAATTTAATGAATTGATATACGAAATGGAATATTAATTTGTTGGATTGAATGTTAATTTGGTGTTGACTTGATGAATTAAATACCTATTTGATAAATTTATATATTACATTTTTGTTGGTTTAATAAATTAAATTTTTATTAGATGATTTTGGATGTTAATTTGATGAATTGAGTGTAAATTGGATGAATTTGAATATATATTAAATGAACTGAATGTTAATTTGGTGTTAATTTGATGAATTAAAATTTTATTGGATAGAATTGAATGTTAGGTTAATTTGATAAATTAAATGTTTATTATGTAGAACTGATTGTGAATTTAATGAATTGAACGTTCATTTGGTGTTGATTTGAATAATTGAATGTTAATTTGATGTTGATTTAAAGAATTGAATTTTAATTTGGTGTTTGATTTGATGTATTAAATGTTTAATTGACAAATTCTATATTACATTAGTGTTGGTTTGATAAATTACATTTTTATTAGATGATTTTGAATGTTAATTTGATGAATTGAGTGTTAATTGAATGAATTTGAATATAAATTGGATAAAATTGAATGTTAATTTGTTGAGTTGAATTGAATATAAGTTCGATATTGATTTGATAAATTAAATATTTATTGGATAAAAATGCATGTTATTTTAGCGTTGATTTGATAAATTAAATCTTTATTGGATGATTTTTTACTTTAATTTGATGAATTGAATGTTAATTTGATGTTAATTTAATGAATTAAATATTAATTGAATGAATTGTACTTTAATTTGTTGTTATTATGATGAATTGAATGTTTATTAGATGAAATTAAATGTTTATTTGGTATAAATTTGATGAATTGAATATTAATTGGATAAAAATTATATGTTATTTTAGTGTTGATTTGATTAATTGAATTTTTATTAGATGATTTTGGATATTAATTTAATGAATTAAATGTTAGTTGGACGAATTTTAGAATATAAATTGAATGTTATTATGGTGTTAATTTGATGAATTGGACATTAATTGGACGAATGAAATATTAATTTGGTGTTAATTTGATAAATTAAATAATAATTAGATGGAATTGAATGTTAATTTGATGAATTTAATGTTAAATAGTTCAATTTGAATGTTAATTTGATAAATGTTATTAAATGAAATTGAATGTTAATTTGTTAAATTGAATATTAATTTTGTATTGATTTGATGACCAACAGACTTTTAGTCTAATGATACTTTTTGTCTTGTGCATACTTTATTTTCTTCAGGATCAACGGTTTAAGTCCCTTTCCCCCCTCCCTTTTTCTCTCCCCAAAAAAAATTGATGAATTAAATATTTATTGGATGAAAATTGTATGTTACTTTGATTTTAATTTGTTAAATTGAATTTTTATTGAATGATTTTCAATGTTAATTTTGTCTTAATTTTATGAATTAAATGTTTATTAGATGAAATTGAATATTAATTTGATTAATTGAATGTTAATTTATTATTAAATTTAAAAAATTAATGTTTATTCGATGAAATTGCATGTTATTTTAGTGTTAATTGTTAAATTGAATCTTTATCGGAGGATTTTTGAGGTTAATTTTATGAATTGAGTATTAATTGAATGAATTTTATATAAATTGGATGAGATTGAATGTAAAGTTGATGAATTAAATGTTTATTAGTTGAATTTTAATGTTAATTTGATGAATTAAATATTTATTAGGTAAAATTAAATGTTAATTTGAAAAATTGAATGTTAATTTGGTATAAATTTGATCAATTCAATATTATTTGAACAAAATTGCAAGTTATTTCGATTTTAATTTGATAAATTGCATATTTATTGGATGATTTTTTATGTTAATTTGATGAATTAAATGTTATTTGAATGAATTTGAATATAAATTATATGAATTGAATATTAATTGCATGAAAATGAATGTTAAGTTGATGAATTAAATATTTTTTATTTGAATTTTAATGTTAATTTAATAAATTAAATATTTATTAGATGAAATCGAATATTCATATGATAAATTGATTGATAATTTGGTGTAAATTTGAGGAATATAATATTAATTGGATTAAAT